CCAGAGGGGGAAATTGGGGCAATTTTGGGGCAATTTTGGCCGTTTTGGGGGAATTTTCTCCATTTTGGATGAATTTTGACCATTTTGGGTGTAATTGGTTGAATTTGGGATGAATTTTCTCCATTTTGGATGAATTTTGGGCCATTTCGGGTCAATTTTCCCAATTCTGGATGAATTTTGGGCACTTTTGGGTGAATTTTCTCCATTTCAAGGAAACTTGGGGACATTTTGGGTCAATTTTTCCCATTTTCGATGAATTTGGGGCCATTTTGGGTTTATTTGGGGCAATTTTGGGGCAATTTTCCCCATTTTGGACGGTTTTTTGGGGTTATCCAAGTGATTTTTTTGGGGCGATTCCGGCTGTTTTTGAGGTGATTCCGGCTGTTTTTTTGGGGCAATTCCAGGTGATTTTTGGGGCAATTCTGGATGTTTTTTGGGGCAATTCCCAGTGATTTTTTGGGGTTATCCAAGTGATTTTTTGGGCTGATTCCGGCTGGTTTTGGGGTTATCCAGGTGATTTTTTTGGGTGGATTCCGGCTGGTTTTGGGTGGATTCCAGCTGTTTTTTTGGGTCGATTCCGGCTGTTTTTTTGGGTGGATTCTGGCTGTTTTTGGGCCGATTCTGGCTGGTTTTGGGGCTATCCAGGTGATGTTTTTGGGCCGGTTCCGGCTGTTTTTGGGTCGATTCTGGGTGTGTTTTTGGGTGGATTCCAGCTGTTTTTGGGCCGATTCCGGCTGTTTTTGGGTCGATTCCGGGTGTGTTTTTGGGCCAGTTCCGGCTGTTTTTTTGGGTGGATTCTGGCTGTTTTTTGGGCCAATTCCGGCTGTTTTTGGGCCAATTCCGGCTGTTTTTTTGGGTGGATTCCGGCTGTTTTTGGGGTTATCCAGGTGATTTTTTTGGGTCGATTCCGGGTGGTTTTGGGTGGATTCCGGCTGTTTTTTTGGGTGGATTCCGGCTGTTTTTGGGCCGGTTCCGGCTGTTTCTGGGCCGGTTCCGGCTGTTTTTGGGGTTATCCAGGTGATTTTTTTGGGTGGATTCCGGCTGTTTTTTCAGGGTGATTCCGGCTGTTTTTTTGGGCCGGTTCCGGCTGTTTTTGGGCAGGTTCCGGCTGTTTCTGGGCTGGTTCCGGCTGTTTTTGGGTCGATTCTGGGTGTGGTTTTGGGCCGGTTCCAGCTGGTTTTGGGGTTATCCAGGTGATGTTTTTGGGTCGATTCCGGGTGTTTTTTCAGGGTGATTCCGGCTGTTTTTTTGGGCCGGTTCCGGCTGTTTCTGGGGTTATCCAGGTGATTTTTTTGGGTGGATTCCAGGTGTTTCTGGGCCGGTTCCGGCTGTTTCTGGGCCGGTTCCGGCTGTTTCTGGGCCGGTTCCGGCTGTGTTTTTGGGTGGATTCCAGGTGTTTTTGGGCCGGTTCCGGCTGTCTCTGGGCCGGTTCCGGCTGCCTCAGGGCGGGGGCAGGGCCAGCAGCGGCGGCAGCAGCTCCTGGGGG